ATCCGAACAATATATGCAGCGGGAAAAAACTACAGGTTAAAAAGGATGGTTTGTAAGGGTAAATATGAGACACAGAAATGTTCTCTGATTTTTTGGGGGCCTCAGGGAGGGCAGGATAGAGCAGAACGCACCAAACTGCTGACCGTCAGTGACTTTGATGGACCGGCAACGGGTTTTCAATACCTTCCCCTGATCGGAATATTTAGTGCTTTTCTCATGATGTGTTCCATTAGTTCATATATATGCCTAGATGCATCCGGAGACAAAACATCGAGGGACGAGCGATATAATCCGACATCCAGACTGCCATCAGACAGTGCCGTGCCTCTTGCCGGGGCTTACGCAGCTCGATCAATTCTAAATCCGATCATTTCCAGTTTCAAAATCCACTCCCGGAGTAGCGAGGGACAGAGATAGAATGTCAGTTCCGGGAGAACATCGTCGAGGGAAGCCTGACTGACCCGAGGAACGACCGCAAAATGTGACTCGTGAGGATCGGGATCAGATGCGCTCCGTCCTGCGGTGCAATCCTAGAAGGCGCAGGGCTTCCTCAAGCTCAGAGGTGCCCTCGGAGCCTCATCGTTCGGCCAGCATATCATCCGGCTCTTCCAGGCGATGGAAGCGCATTGTCGGTGAGGGCGCGGTAACGATTCAGAGCTAGACGAGACGGACTCCTCTCCCATCAATAGAAGACCGGTGCTCCGGGGCCCCGCTCGATCAGACAAGTGTCAAACAAGTGTCATCCTCCGCCCAGCACCACTCTCAGCTGGCGCGTATTGAGGAGGTCCGGCCGACGAGGGCGGAGCGCGGGCGATCTCGAGAGTGGATAGATAGATAGAAGTCGGGGAGGTGTTGCCAGGGTCAAATGTACGCTTCCACGTCTTCCCCGCGAGAACGCAGCGCAAGGATTGGTCATGGATCAGCAGCGCCTCGCTGGGAGTGCGCTAGCACCGCTGTCGACCATTTGACGAGGACAAATCGCGAGGAAACGACCCCAGAGCGTGTGGGAGGGGAAGATTGACACGGAGGTACATAGGCACTCTTCCGCCGCGTCGCTTCGCGGTATAGCCCGCGAGAGCGCGGTGCGGCAAGGGGCGGACTCTGATCCTTCACCAGTACTATTCTCCGGCGAGAGCCAGAAGGGCGACGGGCGAAGGCGGAGAAGCGGCGGCGAAGCAAATAGCGGTGGGGTTGTAGCGCGGTGACGACTCGAATATCAGACGCACTCCTCTTCCCCGCGAGAACGCAGTGCGAAAGGGTGCGCCACGGGTCACTGCAATTTACGGGTCTGCTGCCCGGGAACGAAGTGTCATGCGCCGCCGACTTGAGGTGCCGCGGGGACAGCGCACTTCAGGCTAGCACGCGTAGGTGTGCATAAGGCGGCGATGAGCATCAGAACTCTTGGGCATCTACGCACAATGAAGCGACGTGGAATCCGGATGGAGACGCCGCGAAGAAGGGTTCCTGTTTATTAGCTGCCTCCCCCCGCGGCATCGCGCCCGGCACATGACGACGGTCCCAGATGCGAATTCTCCGACAGGAAGGGGCGAGACGGCGTGATTCAGAGGTAGAGATACGGAGGTACGGAGGGGGGTCGGAAGGAGTGATGTGACCGTCTTCGTGAGGGAAGCGACATTCTCCGCAGAGTGTTCTCGGTCGTACCGCGCCAGTCCGTGGGGCGATGTGCGATGGGAAACCTGCGTGATCGTCACCGCTGTAGACCCGCTCCTCGCCCAACTCCTCAGCCAGGCGCGCTGCCGGAGGCGACGACGAAATTCGTAGCAACGCGCGCATGGAGACGTCGTGCCCGCCCTTTGCTCAGCTCGGCTCCATCTCGTATTTTCTCTCATAGTGTTGCGCGCGCGGATGGCCGGTAGCTCGAAAGCGCCAGTCTCGTGTGCGAAAACGAGAAGGGCGGTATGGGGCGAGACGTGGTAAGGTGGAGGAAGCAAACAAAAGCAAAGGCGCAGGTACGTGTAAGCGACGAGGGCGTGCCGCGGGGGCGGGAATGCAGTCCTCCTCTTCGAGGGAAGCGACACATTCTCCGCCGACTGTTCTCGGTCGTACCGCGCGGGTTCGTGGGCAAAGGAAAGTCTGCATGATCGTCACCGGTGGGGAGGGCTTAGGGCGGCGACTCGGCTGGCATGAGACACGTAGGCCCGCTTCTAGGCCAGTGACGGATTCAGAAATCCGAAGCGACGCGCATGGGGACGCCATGGCTTACAGCCCCTTGCCCCGCCGGCGTTGCCCACGCGCATTCGAAAGGGCCAGTCCCAGATGCGAAGACGAGAAAGGGTGATAGGACCAGTCTCGTATACGAAGACAAGCAGGGGCGAGACGGGGATAAGGGGAAGGAGGCACGGAGGGCGTCGGAAGGTGTGACGCGACGCGCGAGAATGCAGTCCTGCTCCTCGAGGGAAGCGACGCATTCTCCGCAGAGTGTTCTCGGTCGTACCCCGCGAGTTCGTGGGGTGATGATCGTCAACGGAGAGGAACGTCCTCAGCCAGGACCGCTTCTATGGGCAGTGAAGCAACGCGGAATCCGGATGGAGATGCCGCGAAAAAGAGTGCCAGTTTATCCGTTTCCCCCGCGGCCTGCCTCCCGCGCATGGCCGAAGCGCCAGTTCAGACGCAAAGAAGAGAATGAGTGAGGCACGGTGAGGTGGAGGAGGCTGACGAGGGCGGAGGCGGAAGAGGGGCGGAAGGGCAATGCCCGAGAGGGCGGACGAAGGGTAGCAGAGCGCGCTCGTATCGCGTGAGTCTCGAGCTTGTCCGCAGCCCGCGAAGCGGCCATCCCCGCTCGTGGCGCTATCCATCGTGGCGAAGTCCACAGGCCGCTAGCCTATCGCCATCCGACTCGAAGCAGGACAGAGCTGCCCCACGCGCGCAGCTTCCCGTTGGACACGATTTCAGGGAGCATCGTGGAGTGCCGAGTTAGACGATCCGTCGATGGCACTCACGCAGTCGTCGGCGCCGATGGAGTATTGAGAGGCCAAAGACGACTTGATAGGAAGCCTAAGGGAAAGAGAAGCAGGCAGATGGTACACCGCGGCGAGATACGATGGGCTCCTCCGATCCGAGTGGGAGCTTGACGCGGAGAGGTCCCGGTACGGTACGAGTCGTCTGAAGACTGACGCTTTTCCGTCCTTGTCGCGCGGATGGCTATGCCTTGAGCCGGGCCATTTCTGTGTGTCGCTGTTGCTGCGGCTCCAGCGGCACTGGCTGCGTACACCTTGGTGCGGCCGTCGAGCCCTGCGCAAGTGAGCCCGACGCAATCCCATTGCGCAACACGTAGCCAAGACGGAGGAGGCGGTCGGAGAGAGGTCGACGCGCGAGCGCTTGCTGGTTGGCATGGGGAGGCGCAGGGCGCGGGGAATGGAAGTCGGGAGAATGTGACGAAGGTCGAGGACGAGAGTGATGCATACGGTGGGATCTTTGTCGCGAGCCAAGCTCGGAAGATTGGTCGTCCCAGCACAAGCTTTCCTGCTGCGACTAAGGCGCGCGGGCAGCAGCAGCCTGCGCTGTTAGGTAGGGAGAGACAGGTCGACATCGGCCTGCCAGGGTACGGACGGTGCCAAGGCACCGATGGATCTCGTTACACACCGCACTGGGAAGGGTCGGTGCCACAGCGAGGAGGCGGTTTGGTTCGCCCACCAAGCCACGGAGGACAGTTTACGCGGGTGATGACAGTGGCGCCGCAGACCACTCGGTACATTGGGGGAGCTGCTCGTCGCCTTGTGTCGCATCTGCATTCAGTCACTGGTCAGGCCGACGCATCGAGGGGAGGATGGACCCACAAGGCAGTATGAGTGTGGTAGCACGCTGCAGTCGACCTGCATGGCCCTGCGTATGGTACGCGAGAAACGACAGGCAAGTCGTGCGTTTCACCACGCAATAGTGCACGGAGAATGCAAGACATAGCCACATCCACCCTCCACAGTGGAAGAAGTCCTTCCCTTTTACTTCAGACGATGCTCAATAGTACAGCCTAACCGGGAGGCGACTTTGAAAAGAGGTCAGGGCTCTTGTAAGCTAGGTATAGGCCAATAACGCACAGAAAATTCCCAAACAATTACGTCGATTGCTGCCTGAACTAGATATGTCGAGGCGCGACGTTGGAACCTCCTCAATATCGTCGAATTCTTGCATTGGCAACAAGCCTGGATGGCGCCCGTCGATGGATTCCCGTATATCACGGTCAAGGTCTTCTCGGTGTTTCGCCCTTCTCTGAGCAAGCGGGCGGAGACGTCGAGTGTCGCAGAGAATCGTTGTCGCCGTGGCCATCAACGGATACACAGCTGCGGGAACTCCCGGTCCAGATCATTGCCGGCAATGCCCGGTCCGATTTGCCCGATACATGCCACAGACGTCCATGGCGAAAATTCAGCGCCCCTTCTCTCGGTCATCCTGCTCCCTTCTACGCCACGGTTACCTGCTTCTACTCACCATATCTTCCGGTTCTTCTTCAACAATTGTTGGTGCCGTGCTGATGAAGCTTCGATGAAGTCACTCATTCTTCACTCGCTGGTTCTCACACCATTTTTTCAACTGGGCTCACGCAAGAAGGGACGGGAAGGGTGCGTAGTGTACGGTACCCCACAAACATACATGTCGCATCTCTTCTGGTACCCCCGCAGATCGGGGTTCGACTCCCCGCGGCCGAATTACAAGTGCATGGTGGCGTTTTTTTTACTCGTGCAGTCGTGCTGCTCCGTACTCCCAGGCTAACATTTTCCTCCGTGGTACCCCGCCGCCCAGAATGCTTGCAACTCCACCCTACCCTGGGCGAGTCATGATGCTGCATTATTCGTCCCCCGATCCTCCGCTGTTCATTTCACAGGCCTAGGCACGATTCGGCTTGAATTTAACTCAATCACGAACATGTAATCATTCAAGTTTTCACCCTTGCGTGAGTAGTCTCCGGAATTACCAATATTAACCCTGCTTATTCTGCCAAACCTTTGACCGACACTTATCCCAAGAATCAACGTCTCAGATAATCGGGCGTAGTGTACGGCACACGGCTGGCTGTCCTATGTCGTGACCGTATCTAGCGTAGCTAGCAGTCTGGGGTTCGACTCCCCGCGTTCGAATGGAGAGCGACTGACAAAAATTTGTTTTTGTTCGTCTGTTTGACAACGACATTGACTCACTGCAGCCCCTTCCCAATTCGAACGTTTTTCACGCGTCTCCTTCACACGGGAATCAACATATTCAGACATCGGGTGGTGTACGGCGCACCGCGAGTGTCCGTAGAATTTGAGTGGATGACGGTATCTCGCAGATCGGGGTTCGACTCCCCGCGCCCGAATGGTAGATGTCAGCGTCGTTTTTTTATCTCCTGCTTTTCGAGCGGTTGACGAGGTCATTGCATACATTCGGGAGCAGATCAAAGGATTTTGAGGCACGGCGGGGAGTGGGGGTATTACTTATTATTGTATTTTTGTTGTGAATATTATACGGTCGACTATTCCCTTTTTTCCCTCAAGTTCGTAAAGGCTCGGGTGAACTTCGTTCTCGAGAACATTCCGGCGTTGGGAAAATTACTTGAACCCTCGGCCGAACAATACCGATCGTATGATTGAAACTCCGTCTCAATCTTTTCTCGATCCACCATCATGTCCGCGAACGACAGTGGCCCAGTTGCAACGCCTATATCAGGATCTGAGGCAAAAATCCACAGCGGCAACCCTGCGCTCACGGCGCGCCGCGATTGAAGCTGAAATGGCTGCACTCGAGTCCCGGATGTCGGCCCTACGAAAAGAGGACATGGACATTGTGAAGGCGCTCGCTGGCGTGGTTTACCCAGTCCTGTCTCTTCCGAACGAGATTACCTCCGAAATCTTCACTCAATACGTCGACAAGGATCTCATGGTCAACCGCCGTTACGGCAAACACTACAGCCCGCTGTGCTTGGCGAGCGTTTGCAGCTTGTGGCGGGCACTTGCGCTCTCTCACTGCAGCCTCTGGACACATCTGGGATGGCGTCGAGATGAGCCTTTCCACCTCACGGACCTCCTGCGAATTTGGCTTCCTCGCGCCGGCGGCCTGCCTTTGCATCTGAATATAAGCCTACCCAAATCGTCGACACAGGCTGCCAACGTCCTCCGCACTCTCGGTCAATACTCTGCGCAATGGCAGAGCCTCGAAATCGGCTCCCAGGGACCAATTTTCTTCCCTAACGACATCCGTGGTCCTTTTCCATATCTCACCAAATTCCACTTGAAGGCCTTCACTACGTCTGATGGTTGGACTACCTTACCTTTGCTTTCGAACGCACCTTTCCTCCGTGAGGTGCATTTGGAGCTGATAAACCCCAGGAAATGGCAGTCTTCCATCCCCGGGAGTCAGTTGACAAAGCTCGAGCTTACGCATTTCGATATCGAGAGCAGCTTGGGCATGCTGGCGCACACCCCGAATCTCGAGAACCTCGATTTTACCTGCGACATGCGCAATTCCGGGCCTGATCCCGCGCCTTCCCCTCCTCTTAACCTTATGCATCTGCGCACGATCCGTCTGTGCGCAGAACATGGCCCCGAGCTACTCAACTACCTCGTACTCCCTGCCCTCGACTTCATCGACGTCGGGTTTACCGACGAATCCACCGATGAAATCGAAGGTATGGTCGCCCGCTCTGGCTGCACGCCGCGAAGATTCGAGTTTTACATGTACGAGCCGGGTTTCGAGCGGATTTACCGGTGCATGGCCATAATGCCAACGCTGCGCAGGTTGCAGATGCCAGAATACTTTCCTCAGTGGTACCCCGCCGCACATAATTCCTGCAACTCCACCCTACCATGCGGGAGTCATCATTTCTCGCCCAATACTCTTTTCATTTCTCAGGCACGGTCTGGCTTGAGCTCACCAACGAGGACTCACTAGTACTCACTCGATATCAAGTTTTAATCCTTGCGCCAGTCATAGACTTTTAATTTACTTGCCAATATTAACTGACCCTGCTTATTCCTTCACTGACACTTGACCCAAGACCCAAATTGTTAGATAATCGGGTGCGGTGTACGGCACACAGCTGTCTGTGATATTTTCTGGGTGCGGGCAGTATGCCAGTAGCTGGCAGTCCGGGGCTCGACTCCCCGCGTTCGAATGAATGATAACGACTGCGGTTTTGTTTGTCTGTTTGACAGCGAAGTCAGCTTGCCTTCAGAGTGTCTGCATGCCCCTTCTCAATTTGAACAATTTTTACGCGTCTCCTTCACCCAGGAATCAACATGGTAGACATCGGGCGTGGTGTACGGCACACGGCTGGCTTCTGTCGTATTTCGTTTTAAAGAGTAGCTGGCTGTCCGGGGTTCGATTCCCCGCGTTCGAATGGGTAATTGTGACTTGAGTTTTTGTTCGTCTGTCTGTTTGACAGAAGCTGCCCCTCTTCAATTTAGACCAATTTTTACGCTTCTCCGTAACACAGGAATCAACACAGTCAGACATCGGGCGTGGTGTGCGGGACACGGATCCGGGGTTCGACTCCCCGCGTCCGATAAGCCGGCATCCAGCCACGACTCTTTTTTTGCCGTTCAGGTCCAGGTAGTCCCTCATTTGTCCTCCTCTGGGCTCAACTATTCTTTGCAGCCCAGTGCAAGGAAACTATCGAATTTAACCAGGAGGCCAGAGCCCAAAAAAACTTGACATGTACATGGCGGTATTCATTCACAGGTGTGCTCTTTCAACCCACTTACTCCACCACCTCACATACAAATCATGAAGCTAAACCATCGGGTGTGGTGTGCGGAACACAGCGAGCTTCCTTGGTTACGGTCGAGGTTGGGGCTCATATCCCATGTCTGTGGACGAACAGCGGAATTCAAGTTTCAAAAAGAGGGGAAAGAAGAGAAAGAAGAGAGAAAAGAGGGAGAGATTCAGAGATATGACTGCCAATGCTCACCGTGAAATCTTTGCTTCAAACGTGCTCCATTAGCCGAAAATCGCTTGAATCCCCAGTCCCGGCAGGGAAGCGTTCTGATTCCGGCATCCCCAGTCCATCCGGAGCCAAATCCTCCTGGAGACTAGGGATGGCCAATCGAATTCAAGAAAATGTCGGCCGATCACGGTGTGATTCGGCTTTACATAAAAAATCACTCAGAATGTCGCACGAGTCTCAGGCGCACGAGAACTTGTCGCTTTATCGTCCGGGTGTAGCGCACAACAAGAAAATATCCACCCAGGTCCATGGGGAAACTCACCTCAGATTAATTGCTTCCAAAAGCTCGCAGAACAAGCCTTGGTTTTTTGTTCCGCCAAACATCTCCGGATTGTGTTGTTTACATCGAGTCTCAAAGCCCTCGTAAATGAGATACTGTCCGAAGGCGTGTACACCATATCCGGATCCGAATGCAGAGGCAGAGGCAGAAGCAGAGACACCGGAAATTTCTACCTGTGGTATGCCTGTTGTTCTGTTACTTTCACATTGCTAAGTTATGCTAACAGCTCAAGTTCTTCCTCGCCGGCGCCTCGACAAAGTTTCGAAATAGTCGAGGGAGGCTCTAGAATTAAAGAGAGTGTTGGCAATTTGAGCTTTATTTGGCAGAGGCACAATTGTGGTGCGCACCCGGGGTAAAGCACATTGATCCTGCTGCACTTAACCTGGCTTTTGTCCCTTGCAACATTGGAAAACCACTAACAGAAAACCGGGGTGGGAAACCGAAATGATTTGGATAGCAGTCAATGGTTCATACCATCAAAAAATTTTAGTCTCGGGTATGAAGACGAGATCAAACCAAGATCAAAAAATTCGTCAAGAATGAATTTGCCCGGAGTCCTGGCGGCAAGTTGGCAACCAAGTAATAGCCAGGCATCTTTCTCTGTTACTTAGCTGCTGAGATTGAATGCTACAAGAGTCGCAGTTCTGTCCCGGACCCCCTCAGAAGTTAGAACGATAGTGGAAGCGGTGGGAATTCGAGGACAAGATTGGCGCATGGGTTTGATAGCCGAGATTAGGATCAATAGGATCACGCGGATCAGTCCCTAGTGGACTACATAGGGATCCACTGCCATCTTTTGGCATGAGCCGAGGTTGGCCAGAGTATCTCGCAGTCCGGGGTTCGACTCCCCGCGCCCGAATCACATGTCGGTGTCTTTTTTTCTCATGCTTTTCGAGCTGCTCCCTACTCCCAGGCTAACTTTTTCCGCACAAAATGCCTGTAGCTCCAATCTACCCTGCGCGACACGATTCGACACCCGATCCTCCGCTTCCATTTCACTCACTAACAAGGAAACTCAAGTTCAGGTTCTTATTCTCCCATTTCTTCGCGCTTCACCCAAGACTCAAGGTGTCCAGTCATATCAATGTCATAATCGGACGTGGTGTACGGCACACGGCTGGCTTCCCTATGATCGCAACTGTGTTCGAGCAGAGTAGCAGGCCCCCGGTCACTACCTTGTAGCCCCGTCCGCGATAGCATAAATCAACGGCCAAAAATGCCCTCATGTTGGTCCGCAAAAGTACATAAATCGGTCTTGAAACCAGGGAGGTCCGTCCGAGTATATACCAGAAGAATAGGACTAGGACTGCCCCAGTCCTATGGAGTAGGACTCAGTCCTATGGAATAGGATTGAGTCCCATTATCTCGGCCGATTGTTACTACGCCTATCATTCTCGCGTGCATATTCTCGACATCGATGAAGTAATATTGCATGCACTATCTAATCTTTCGCTTCCCTTTAACTTTATTGCCGGATCCACCTCCGACTCACAAGTACTGATACAACTTGTGAGGGACCAAATAGAGGAGTTTATGTCGGGTATGCACGTCGGTAGTTGTACTATTCCGGCGCTATTGTTTGACTCTCATGTCCGTTGACACGTCTCAGCCATTGGTGTCCGCATGAGCAATTCAGAGTGGTTTGATACAGTCCGATAGATTCTCGTGAGCTTGAAGATATGGAAAGTGGTAGAGCTTCAGGATTCACGCACCGTAATCCAGGCATACATTGAGATGCATCGTACAGAAAACTGGTAAATTGAACCACTAAAACAATTCACTCGGGAATGAAGATCGTGAGCATATGAGGTTCATTTATTCAGCTTGGAGGTACAACCCATGGAGAAAAGAATTGGAGGCTCATTGCACATATAGGTTGGTGTGGAACACTTAAAAGCCATTCGATGGACACTTTGGACAGGCGGGGAGTACAGCAAAAAGAAAGAAATAAAAAATGTAGACGCAGAATGCCGCAAACAACAACTTGGAGGGCTGGGATTAAGTCAGGTATATATGTCCGATATGCAGATACCTACCGGGGTATAATATGTATCGTATTCCAAGGATCACCGGACCACAGTAATGTTGAAAGAAGGAAAAGGAGACAAGACTTGTTGTAAAACTCAACATGTCCGAGAAGCCCGACCACATCTGAACGTGCATATTTAGCGGGAAAGGATGAGAGGTAAAGACGAAGAGCATGCATTGAATCAAACTTTCACGTGGCTTGGGGTTCTATTCGTGAGTGGAAGAATAAGTTGTAGGAAAAGAAAGAGACCATTTGCGGAGCCAGGGAATAAATGTAGGCAGGGTTACGCACTGGAGAATGCTGCAGCACAATAGTCTCGCAGTGGGGAAGTGTGATTAGCATTCTGTTGTATTACACCGAATGAAGAGATGACTGGTTGTATGTTGATTACAGGGCAATGAGAAGGGTGATGCATGCAATAATGAACAGAGTTTTGCGCAAGTAGGGCGACAAGACAACGACAAAGATGTGATTGAAGGTTGGACGAAAGGCAAAGCCTTTGGCCCGATTGCCAGCCAGATCATGGCTTGCCGGTGTCTTTTCCCAGCTTGGAAAACCCTCGGGATGACCGACCTGCCTCTGGGTTTGCCTTGGGTAGAGAGTTATCGGGAAAGTACGGCATGCCGATGATATCTGATCGCTTGAATAACTGTCATTTCAAGCGACGACTGTCAGCCGCTAGCTGATACGGCAGCGAGTCCTATTCCATGGGACTGAGTCCTACTTCATAGGACTGGGGCAGTCCTAGTCCTACTCTTTTGGTCACTCCTCGGTCCGTCCTATGTAGCATAAATCGCGCGGTGCGCGAGATTTTTTTTTGACCTAATCATAGCCATGTGCGGCGAATTGCACTTGAAACGGGCCGCATTCGGCATCAAGTGATCGAAATTAAGGTCCGGGAGCGCCTGCGGCGGCTCTGCGACGCCAAAAAGAGCTCGGGAAAAATTTTGACATTTTTTAGGCACATGTTCGTCCGAAAGTGCATAAATCAGCTCCCCAGCGCAAAATTCGTAGCATAAATCAGCTCGGATTTTTTTGAAAGAGCGGACGGGGCTACAAGGTAGTGACCGGGGGCCTAGAGTAGCTGGCAGTCTGGGGTTTGATTCCCGAGGTGGCTCGGCTGATTTGGCTCTGTTTTTGTTCGTCTGTTTTACCAGGCTCGTGTTGAAGACATTTATTCCCCATATTCAAAGGGTCCTTCACAACCTCGTTCAACGCTCGTGCTCCCGTCGTTGATCTTAGATTTACGCGTCTCCTTCACACAGGAATCAACATAGTCAGACATCGGGCGTGGTGTACGGCGCACCGCGAGTGTTCGTGAAACTCAAGTGGAGGACGGTATCTCGCAGATTGGGGTTCGCTTTCGAAGAGTATCTCGCAGTTCAGGGTTCGACTCCCCGCTCCCGAATATACATCTGCATCCACTGATCTTTTTCTGCTGTTCAGGTGGTCCTGTTTCTTTCTTTCTTCGCCTGGGCTCAGGTTATTACTCGCACCCCGATGCAACGTATTTCAACAAATTACCCTCGTTACCCATATATCTTCTCGGTGACAATTTCAACAGTTCAGTGCCGACCTCCAACCACGGAGTCAGAGAAAAAAACCGGACACGGGCCACAACGGCTTAATTAATTTTACAAGCGCTGATTCAACCCACTTTGTAAGTGCCCACCTCACATACAAATAATTCTGAAGCTGACACATCGGGTGTGGTGTGTGGAATACGGCGACGGCTTCTATGATCGCCTTCAAAGAGTATCTCGCAATCCGGGGTCCGACTCCCCGCGCGCGCGCACGAATAGTAAATACCGGCTCTTCGATTTCTTTTTTTTTTCCGTTGGGGAAGGGCCTTCTTCCAGGTTAGCGCCAGCTACTCACGTCTATTTAGGTGCACAGAATACTTCTAACTCGTTGCATGGTCCCCAGTCAACCAGTCCACCAGGAAAATGAACAGTCACGTGCCAAAGGACGCGTCGCGAAAAGAAGGGCACACAGAGACAAGCAATGTTGAAATGTCCACAATCCATTGAAGCGAGCGAGAAACAGCATGTTCGGCTCATTCTACAAGACCCAAAAAATAACCTT